AAAATGCATTTAAATCATAATATTTGTACAGTATTCATCTATTCAAATTTGTGTTAAAATGTATTACATAAATTTGTATATTATTTATATTTCACTCTGATTTTTCGTTTGTAAGAAACATTATTTTTAGATAAGATAGAATGGTAAATGTCAATTCATTAGCTATTCTTTTGTTATATCCTTGTTTAAAGGAAAAAAATATTTATATTGCTATCATTAATTACAAAAGATTGCTCGTAAATGTCGAGCATCGTGCTTGCGTAATGCTCGCGCGTAATCTTGCAAATTTGATTGCATCAATAATGAGTAAATCCCTCGCTCTTTTTTCACGGCAACATAATTCTCTTCGCAATTGAACGTACCGAGACGGAAAAAAATCGGACTCTGTCGCCATGTCGCTCTCTTTATAATCTTGATTTCCGATTAACCTAGTCAATAAACATTATGGGAGCACCTACTTTCCACGGTGAACGTTATTAAGTTTTCCGCTGCATTTACGACCTTCGCTGCGTGTTCTTACGCGCCTTCTTTCCAAGAATACAGAACGATAAACTCCTGACCGGATTTCATTTGTAATAAAATCGTTATACGGAATGGTAGGGTAGAGTTGCGTTCAGATTGCGTGATTGATTTGTCTCGTATTTTATCGCGAATTCACGATTATTATTCCGCTAGTCTCGACATTTGCTCTAAAATCTATATTTAGTATGATAATATCTCCACTATCGTTATATTTCATTGCCTATATTTTATTAACATGTATTGCGTTACTATTACATTTATCGTATCAATTATTCGAAAATTTATTTAAGTTGTAAATATCTCTTATTACTTATTCATTTAATGGTACAGTTAACCGCGATTAATACGAAAGATTCGATGATTGATGCAACGCCCAATCATCCTTTCAAACCAGCTGGAATATTTTAGCGCAAGAGAATTTCTGAGAGATGGAAATTTAATTAAGTCTCTTAAATCTCTAATCGAAGTATCTTAATTACTAGGAATTTAATTAATTAAATATTTAAATTGAATTTCTCAATTGACTTGATTTTTAAATATTAATACGATTTTATAGAAGAATTTGTCATCTCTCTTCGCTTCTTTTGTTACGCATTTTTAACGTGACTATAGACGTTAAAGTTGTGAGAAATATTAGATAGGAAACGTAGATTAATGCGTTGCATAAATTCTACCTTGACAATGTCATGCTCGACAAGTTGGCCAAGAAAAGACGAAACAGTACTTTGTGTTCTTTTTTCTTTTTTCTTTTTCTTTTTTTTTTTTTTTTTTTCTTTAATTCATCATCATGGGACCGTCGTGGTACTGCCGCGGGCGATCAATTGCTTAAACATCAATGATTATTGCACAAGCATTACATAAGTAAACAGATGGATCGAGCAAGTGAGGTAGAGGAGTGATGGCGAGAGGAAGCAGTACAGAATACAGGAAAAAAGACGCAAATTACCGCCACTAAGAGCAATTCACATCCATCATGCGTGTTACGTACGATTAACAATTCTCTCGTCTCCTTTTCTTTATCTTTTTTTTTTCCTCCTGATGTTGTATCATTCTTGGGCTTCCGTTCGAACTAATGGTTCCGCTTGAGACATTTGAAATATATTATTTTTGTTTGTGAAAAACGCGTTCGTAAAAAATACGAAGTTAGACAAACAGAGAAATTATTTTTTCCGATAGAGTTGAATAAGTTTTAGTATAATGAGAGATTAACTTAAAATCAGCGCGTTAAATAATATATGTAATGAAATAATTATATAATGGAATTATTCGAATAAAAAAATTCTCTATAACTTTTTTCGACGTGTGATAAAAAGAGGCGGAAATATACATAAAAATTTACAAAAAAATAATTAGGCACAAGGTTCTGCCAACTGACCGAGAAATTCCGCTTACTTGTATCGTGTTGTACACATATTGGTTGTTATTCATTTGTTAAATAATTTCAATTTCTCTTTTTCTCTCTCTCTCTCTCTCTCTCAATCATTTCTTATAATAATAAAAGGATACTTTTAGATTGGTACGTATTCAAAATGAGAAGAAGTAAATATAATATTATGTTCCTCATACATAAATTATTATAAAAGTAGATTATATCAGGAAGAAGTTATTATTATTTTAGTCGATATCATGCTGTAACAATGTACCGTAATGAAGAAAATAACATGCATTGTCATGATATCGTATATGAAGTGACGAAACAAATCTGAATTATAATTGAAAGGGCGAGAAGAGGATCATGATCGCTCGAAAAGTACAGCCTTGGCCCATTTGAGGAGAATGCTCTCCTGGTTGAATACCTCTTCTTCTTTTTCTTCTTTATCCGGTGACGAAATTATCGACGCGATTGTTCACCCGTCATCGAGTAAATAATTCATAGGATAATCGTGATTGATTTGATGGCTCCAGCTACGCGTCGGGCTCGAAATTCGAACAATAATCGACGCGAGGTGAAAGTACACGAATGACGGGGCGAATACTTCGTGACATCGTGCCAACAGACGTAATCGTCGTGAAAAGAACCATCGCGAGCGATTTGACATTCCAAACCTTTGCTACTTTTACATTGTTGAGATTCTAATCGAGGTTACGGTTTTTTTGCAACGAAAAGTAATTGCATCTGAAAGTCAACGCAAAATTACGAAAGAAATTGAATGTTTTATTTTTGATTTTTTTAAATTATATATATATATATATATATATATATATATATATTTGTTTATATATAGAAAGCTATGTTTTCTCGCATATGCTTCTATCGACTAAAGAAACATTCAGTGAACCGTCCAGTGAGATATTCTTTACTCTCAAATGCACGTAGGAGCGAAAATAAATGTACGTTCAGTTCGCTGTCGTCGTATCCTCTTTTCGCTTTTCGTTTTACTGCTTATCGTTTTCTTTCCGGTGCGCTTGTCGCAAGTTGGAGCCGCCGTCGACATCGTCGTCGTCGTCGTCGTCGTTCAGAATTAATAGCGTCGAGACATTCGAACCTGATTCATCGACGCCTACTAACCATCTACGTTGTCCATCGAACGATGGGATTCGTTGTAAGAATTTTAATTTTAAATAAGAAAATACGAGGAAAAAAATCACTTTTTGAATAAAAATGTAAATATATTTTTGTTAAAAGTTTAATGTTTTTCCATTAGATTATTTTTATTTTCAAAAATAGATCAATTGGGTAAATATAAAGTTTCATTAAAAATAAATACAATTATGATTATACGTTAATAAATACAATTATGAATAAACGTTATTTAAATTATTTTAATTAAAATAGTGTATGTACATGTATTTTTAGTTCATTACGACAAATAAGATATGTATTTATTGTCTCTCTGGATTTTGCAATCAGTCACATCATGTGTCGCTGACCACAGCGGAATTCGCTTCCGCTCCAATTTCGCGGCGCTTCGTCTTAGCCAGGAAAAAAGTAAAACATCGGTCGATATGTTCCTCGTGCATTATTCCTTGACCTTCTTAATCGGATTCTCGTAGTGATTTCTCAATGCAATCAGCTGATTCCTTGGGGATTTCTAAGATCCTTCCTCTACGACATCCGTGAAGAAATTCCGGGAAACGTGGTGAAAAATCGTCGATTCCCGTTTCGCTTTCAAAGCATCGCAAAAAATGTTGCGTGTTCACATATGTTCTGACATGTGTGATTCGGGGAAAGCGTGACCGAGAGGAGATTTACTTTTCGGACGAATTATGCATCGTTCCGAAAGTGAAAAATTAAAAGCGAATTAAATTCTAAATCAGACAAGTAAATGAACTTGGGCAACAAACAAGAAACTTAGGACTTTGAAATATGATGATAAAATTTAGATGACATGTAAAAACGCGATGGGATGTATATTCGAAATTTTACTTTTACTTTTAAACTTGACTTCAAGGCTTATAGATTCCAGAAAATTATCATAGAATTTTATATTAATTGAACTCTACTTTGTAACTTACTTTTCTTTGAAATAAACATTAAATAAAGAACTTCCTACTAAGGTTCAAAAGAGGAGTTTTTAGTCATTTTGAAATAGAATTTTGAATAGTGATTTCGAATAGAAATTGTTAAGAAGATGTTAAAAATATTAAAAGAGATAGGTCTAACTGGTTAAAATATCAAAACAGATGTAAAAATTCCAATCGAAATTGAAAATAGTACAATTTCAACTCGGATATCGCCAGAAGCGCCTGATAAAAGTTATCTGGAATTATCGCTAATTTCAAAAGCACTAATAACACCACACGCCGCAAGAATTACATTTTCAAAGTTTACGGCGCCGCCGACGATAAACGTCATACGACATAGTACCTGTCTACTGTCGCAAATTATTTCATCATGTTTAGCGTGTTCAGCAACAGATTGTCATTCTATACACGCTTACAAATCGGGGAAGAGGAAGGGACGGGAGAGAAGGGAGAATGGACATTCGTCACTCATATAGCCCCATACCCACATAACATCTCCCACCTTCCGCTATGCTGACATTGGCTGCTCTCGCGCTACATCGGATCGACATATCGCGTCGCGTACGAGTGGCGAATCGATCTCGTCATCGTTTGCGCTTTCCGACCAGCCTCTGACCATCCTACCACGATCTTCTTCCTGTCCAGCTTCCAATGGCCGGAGCTCTATCCCTTCTCGGGACACCCCTCGACACATCCCTCCGGGTTCGAAGGTCACGGGTGATGTTGCAGCCGCCGTTCGACGACGTCCCGTGCTCGTGGTAGTGAAAACCTGACGAGACCTCGTTCGGCTCGAGCCGGGGGTAGGGAGGCTATATATAACACCGTCGACCAGCGCTCCCTCAGTACTCTCGTGCGCGTCCGACCCGATGGGTGCATGATAGTCTTCCTTATGGTTGCGAAATCCCTCTGATTTCTTCCTCGTCAAGTGCTTCTTCTGGAAAGGAAGCTTCTTTCGACGCGTTCCACAGCACACGAAGATCAGCACTAGATTCTGGAATACAGAGCTGCTGACTTTCACCGATTCTCTTCAGGACTCCTCAGGATTCTCTTCGACTGACAATCCTCAAGGAGGAAGTCTCATTGAAATCCTTACTTACTTGATGTCATAATAGAAATATGTCGTAATAGAAGTGATTGACGATCACTATCTTAGTGAACTTTAAACGGAATTCCCAACGTTCCCAATTAACATTTGAATCTGATCTCCGTTCTCCGTGAGTTTGTGCATTGAACTCTCTTTTTCGGGAGGAAAATATAAGTTTCTACAGACCGATTCTTCAAATCTTTCAATCTTTAAAAAGCTTTGGATAAGCGTCTTATCCAGTATCATTATAAATATCGAACTTGAATAGTTAGATACTCCGATTGTCAAGAATCTTGACGTAGCGGGAAGAAAGTTTATTTTAGCGGAGGTACGCGAAAAGATCTTGCGCCATCGTCCGATAACGGGAACCGTTTATTGCCTCCTTGCCAGCGAGTTTCTTTCCGCGCCTGGCTTTTTCTCAGCTGCTGATCTGTTGATGATTTCCCCAGTGGAATGTAACGAACACTTTGAGATGGTCACAGTACTGGGAAGTGAAGCGTGCGGATAAGTACATTTGATAGAGACGAGTACGAACGTGTCCTTGACGTGAAATATCACGTCGATGTTACACGAGAGAAGACGAGCGACGTTGTCAACTGAATAAAAGGAGACTTCGGACTTCGGATCGACGTATCGCGAAAAGAAAATCCATCCAGCAGCTAGCATGACAATGGTCGTCAACAAGATCAACATGTCGTCGTATTCCGTACCGCGGCGTACCTTCTTCTCGGGTCTTCACACAAAGGTAAAAATTCCATACGCATCGAAAAATCTCATGTGAATTTGTACTTTATTCTAACCTAAAAATTATTTTTTATTCTATCTAGTTTAAATAGTTATACATATTCTCTTCTTTTCTCTTCGAATCGAAGCACACTGATTTTACAACTAATCCAACATTTACTATCGAAGATCACAATTTCAGGTGCAATTTTGTTTAATGAAAATGGATATTTATTTTACTAGTTTTAATTAAAGTTATTAATTAAAATTTAATAAAGTAATTAAAGTTATTTAAGAATCTTGTATCGATTATTATATAATCTTTTGTGTAGCTTTTGAAAGTAACGTTTGAAAATTTTATACAATATAAAATATATATTTTTTAGAGTGCTTCACAGCACTTTCTTTCAAATTTTTTTAAAAATTATTGAAACATGATTGATTCTTAATTTATTTTATGATTTATAAACTTTTATAAATGCAAAATCTCAAAGACTTTGTACAGATTAAATATATATTTATTTAAGATACATTTAAAGATACTTTCATTTTACCTGGAATTTTTCACAAATTGCTTTTAAAAAAATCAAAAAATTCTCAGAGAATTTGTTTCGTTTGAATAGATACTTTGGTTAATGATTTGTTATTTTCATATTTTTTCAATACGGAAGCTATCGGAATATCTTGACACTTTATCTCTGAAAAGCTCGATTTCGTTGTGATAGTAGAATTAAAATAACATACTCTTTTATCCATAATATATATGATTGCATTACATATATTAAAAGCCTAATTGGGCATGGTTGGATCGTGATTCGTGTTTGGGACTGAATCGAACACTCGACCATGAACATGACCATTTTTTTTTAAACGCGATGCATGAATCAGGAACCAGATTTTTGGGAAGGGAACGAAGCGAGATAACAAGTGCGTTGCCACGATGTATTTTTCGCGACAACTTTCCTGGCGCATTGCCATGTTTATGCTCGACTTTTCAGGCGAGCTATAATCTTTTTTGGATGGTAACGAATCCCGCGAATAGCTGGCGATGACTTATGTAATGACGACCAACCGAGTCCCTCTGCTGGTTTGTTAAACTGTCATGTGCAGCTGCGATGTGCAACTACTTTTTTCTGCCAACGAGAACGACACTTGGAATTATACGCTATGTCGCTTTATTTATTGCGAAATGAAAACGCAATTAGCACTTGTGTTGATACAAAACAACTTTTTCCCAGTATAAATGCTAATGCGCAAAAATAGGCTTCCACGATTCGAGAATATCTTCATACAAGGTCTCAAAAAGGTCGATAAAACTATAAAATTATAAAACGAGCGGCTTTATTTCAAATGCAAATAACTTACAACACATTTATTAAGCACTAAATTAAATTAATTAATATTTATTAAAAAAAGATGAAAGAAAATTTTAATTAAAGATGTATACTTTGTAATACTTTAATATTTATTTTAATATTTATTAGCTTCTCTGAGCATATTTTATTAACTCAATATTTCTTTTTTTATATTATATAAATATGTATTAAATATTTATTTTTATGTAGACATTAATTTAAAATATCCTTGTCGAAAATTTTTATATAATTTAAATATAATTATTTAATAATTACGTAACTATATAATTATAATTATAGATATAATTTATTAAATATTTATTATCTGAAGTTTATTGCTGTTTATTGCTTGGCTTATTAAAGACGCTTATTAAAGACTTCGTATGTCTAACTTTACATTAAAATTATCGAATTAATTCTGAAAAGTCACGAAAATTGAGAGAATTGGAATATTTTTCAAATACGCAGTTTCTTAGTAGATTCTGCGAAAAGACTCGCAGCTACATCGCTCACTCTGCATGTTGTATTTAGGTCTCGTTATATTTAGAAAAGTTTCCTCGTAGTAGAAAAGCATTTATCTCGTCTGGTTCGGCCTCGTTAATGCATCTTTCACGCTTCATTATTTTTCATTCAGTTTTACCGCGATGTGACAAGACGGACACGTCGTTATATTAATGATTCCGCGGTATACATCAATCGGTTAAAATGATGATCAGACGCTAAGGTAATCCATGTTTGATTTATAATTATAATATTCTAATATAAAATAACAATTTAATCTAATATAAATTAACAATTTTTTTATGATTATACTTATATCTAATCTGATTTTATCTCAGATTAATTTTACATAACAGTTCTTAAATGTAAAATCCGGTTCTTTTAATATACATAATCCTTGACAAATTATTTCTTTTTAAATTTATTTGGAATTTATAGAGTTTGCGATTGTTGAAGGATCTAGAAATTTTTCCGGTAAGCAATTAAAAGACGTAAGGAACACGTGTTGGTCGCATTGTTGAATTGAATAACAGGGTGGCTCGTGGCACGAGCGACGATCATTCTCATTAAGCTGATGCTCCATTGGCCGTTGAGACGATTAATATCAATATACCATACGAAAGAGAAAGAGAGAAAGGATGCTGATGCTCGTGGCGATGTTTCACTCCTCCACGCGTATGAAGTAGACAAGATTTTAAATTCGGAAAGCTTCAGCTCATATTTGAAATAGCCCGAAGGGAGTCGGAAATTTTTGCAGGTCGTTTCCTCCTGAGGTTTACATAAATCATCCTCTTTTAGCCCATCATACTAGACTGCGATTATTCATAATTTTAGTCCTAGAGGCGATCAAATACTTCCACACATCCGTGTATACTTTCAACTTGTTCTTTCTTCTCTCCTATCCTTACATCTTAAAATGCATTGTAATATTTTCTATTCGTCAGACGTCAAATGAGGGTCGTGTAATGCAAAATATGTATTCTGTTGCACATAAAAATTTCTGTTACACGTAAGATTATACGCAATTAAATATCTTTTCCCGTGATTGGGATTAATCTGATTCCATGCCCCGATCCCCTCCCCCCCCATTCGAGTCGCTTTAATGTACGGATGAATCGATGAGCCGACTGGAGCCGATTTTTTCTCGTCAAGTCTGGAGAAAGAACGCCTCGTTCTCGCGTGCACGCGAGAACGCGAAGGAGCGTCGTAAAAGCGACTCCGTCATAAGAGAGGCATAAAAGATTCATTTTGCTGGAGAGGTGACCCCGCCGACCCGGCATCCGCTCTCTGTGGGCGGCACTCTCGGATCTTTTCCCTCTTACACCCTCTCCCTTTTCCTTCTCTCTTCGTTCCTTGTCTTTGTTCAGAAACGTTAACTGGAGAATCGTAATCGCGAGAATCTTAATATTAAAAATCTTTAATTAATTAATTTATGAGCTTTCATTACGTTAGCGCCTCAGGCACTTTCAGGTCTTCTGTTTAGAATATGAAATATCTTAAACTAATAATTTCATTAGTGAAGCTAAATTAACCGTTTGACCTTTTTCTTGTTTCTTCGAGAAATTATTTATACAGAAGCAAAATTTATTACGTACCGCAAAATATATGTTTATTGATTCAATTCATTTTTGCACAAAGTTTATTCCACACAAAGTCAAAATTCAAATAATATCTTTTTTTTTTAAATATAATATTAAATTATTAATATTATATTGAACTGGAATACTTGAACATTTTTTAAGATATTAAGTATATTTTTTAAGTATATATTATTATACTGCGTACATTTTTTGGTATTTCCTAAATTGAATTTTTAATTATGCCTCTTATAGGCCTCTTTACTTCATTCTTTATCTTTTGAGGTGAGCACGCAAAGAAAAAGAGAAAAAAAAGGTTGAGGAAAGAAGTGGTCTTGTTAAGACAATCAAGCGGTTGGTCATTAAGCGTAACTCGCATTAAATTGCCGAGAGTTGGGAGATGCTGTTTTCGTTACGACGTCTCGGAAGAATTTACATTTGTTTATTAACTACCTCGTCCTTTCAAGTCGGGCTCTTTGTCTTAGTGCTAATTTAGGATTGTTCGTCCAGTTTGTAATTTTCTCTCTCTATTTATTCTTGCGCTTATATATAATATAATTAATGAAAAAGATAATGAAGATTGCGTACGATACAAGGAATCATTTAGTTGCTACATGGCTAGCCGGGATAGGAGCTCTCGTTACTAGATGACTTCGTTAGAATGTCGGGGATCCCATTACAGGCGTGGTTATTTTATTCCTTATTTTATTTATGTCCGAGGGGATGTATCGTTAATACGCGAACGTCTTCAGGAATCTAATGGGCGGTTAGTTCTTACGGAATCGACGTGGGGCTTTCTTCAACAAAAGCTGCCGCATATCAGACCGGACGGACCGGATGCATTTAATCTGCGGCTATAACACCGCGAGACGGGACTAGGGATTCCTTCCTAGCTTAACAATGCGCATCATTCACATTTGAGGATTAGTGCGGTTGCACTCGCAAGGAATTCCGGGTTCGCTGAAGCAATCCGGAGATAAATAAGCGATCCAGCTAAATCGTGACTTGATTTATTGCTACGACTTATTACCGATAATGGCGTCCACCGTGAGATCCAGCGTAAAAGCGCTCCAATATGCAATCTCGATTCTCATTAAACGTGTTTACATAATGTGATATTTTATGGTTAGCCAATCGTTGACACTTGATTCGATATTCGTAAGCGCGTGATGAAGAGGAGCTATTTTAAGCGGCGTGTCTCGCTATAATAAGGGTAATTAATATCCAAGTTGGACAAGCGGAACAACGTAATAACTCTTTGCGGCGATAAAATCTAAAATTATCGCGGAGTCGTATTGACAGTAACGAATATTTGCAATCGTCAAAAAGTCATTTGTTTTTAAAGGTCACTTGCATAGGTCGTATTTTAACGTCATTGTAGTCAAATCAGATTGTCTCTCGAAATCAACGCTTTTTTTTTTTTTGCCAATTATTAATTTCGACGAAAGCGGGTTCTCGTTTGCATGTTTGCATAGCTATATGACCGCTCGTACACATAACCATTTATGCTACTAAATCTGATGTAAACCTGACTGGCCGGTTGACTGGTCGGTCGCACCGGCATCGAATGTCGCCTTCACAACGTAGCC